ATATCCAAAGCAAGGAGTTTTCAGTGGGCTGCTCCTGCAAAGTGCGGCAACGAGAGGCAGTCACATCGGACAGCATGGCATTACAGCTCACCCCTTTTGGTATGGTGACGCGATACCAAGCTGGCCCTGGTGTTCGGAAGTCAACGACCTGCTATCCGTATCTTGGCGGGCCGCACCGAAGACACATGAGGTAAATCACTTGCTCATGAGAATTAAAGTTTAAGAGAATTAGTCCTTGATCGGCACTCAAACCCGGCACCTTCGGCGTTCGAAGCCGACTTCATTAACACCGCGCCTGGCGCCGCGCCTAAGCTGATTGATTTAAGTTATCCATTTCGATTCATTTAAATTTTGTGTACTGAATACCTTTTTTCTTTAAAGTGTATATTTCAGCATTATGGACGCAGTGTAGGAACATTCCGGCAGGCTAAAGCGCGGTGATGCCTGCCACCGGCCTAAGATATATGACTGTAACCAAAATCTCATAAAATGCTCTACTTGCTGAATCCAATGGATGGCATGAAAGTTGGGGAGATATAGGCAGTAGTCCAGGAGAGACGGCACCCCTGATGGACTGCCGAACATCCATTCGTCAGAAAAAGCTCAATAATCGAAAAAACAATCGAAAAAGTTAGTGTAAGCTGTTGCACCGGCATGAACAACGCCTACAACTTGATGAACGTCATGGCACGACTGGTTCCAATGATCAAATTACTTGGTCTGTGGTTGAGGCACAGGACAACGGACAGAAAATCTGCAGAGCGTTAGCCCGTTCGTGGTGCACCCGCAACAAAAACAAATCTGATAAAGGATATTATTTTATCGTTAATACTTTTCAGTATGTCCATAACACGTTTTAAGACAGTAGGTGTTCTTCAAACAAACTTAGGAATTTAGGGAATTTAGGCACTGATTTCAAAGAAAATTTATAAATATAGGGATATTCAGATATTTAATTCCATTTTATTGTTTTATTACAATAAATTGACATTTATTATTATAGTAATTGAAAATGGTTTAGCCCAGATTCAACCAGTGTGCAACTACTGTTGCATACGGAGCAAGATCTGCAAAGATCATGCAACTCAAGATGGCAAGAACAAGGTTATTTAGTTTCTTTCCGGTTTCTAGAACGTAACTTTTCCCTCAAGAGCAGTTTAC